TTAATTTTATCCCATAGATTTTTCTATATCATGTTTCCATTTTTATTTGTCTTAGAAAATTTTAAAATTTCTTTCTTAATTTCTTCATTGACTCATTGGTTATTCAGTAGCATGTTGTTTAATTTCCATGTGTTTGTGTAGTTTACAAGGTTCCTCTTATTACTGATTTCTAGTTTTATTACATTGTGTTCAGAAAAGACACCTGATAAGATTTCTATTTTTTTTAATTTATTGAGACTTATTTTGTCTCCTAAGATATGGTCTATTCTGTAAAATGTTCCATGTGTTGATGAAAAGAATATGTATTCTGCAGCAGTTGGGTGAAATGTTCTATAAATTTCTGTTAGGCATATTTGGTCTCGTGTATAGTTTAATTCCAATTTTTCTTAGTAGATTTTCTGCCTGGATGATCTTTCCATTACTAATGAAGTGGTGTTGAATTCCCCTACAATTATTATATTGGAGTCTATCTCTCCCTTTAGATATGTTAATGTTTGCTTTATATACTTGGGAGCTTCAGTGTTGGGTGCAGAGTTAGCTTCCTGAAATGTATGAAGGAAAATGATCAGAAAAAGAAGGAAGCCAAAGAAAAAGATATCTGGTTCAACTGAAGTGCCAGCCTGCTCCACCCAGAGAAGCACACTTTGTGAGAACAAATGGAAGGGAGCCTGAGGTGATGGAATCTATTCCCTATGAATTCATGGCATAAATGGTGTAAAATATAAAACTCCTGGAAAAGAAAGAAAGAAAGAAAGAAAGAAAGAAAGAAAGAAGAGAAAGAAGAAAGAAAGAAAGAAGAAGAAAGAAAGAAAGAAAGAAGAAAGAAAGAAAGAAGAAAGAAAGAAAGAAAGAAAGAAAGAAAGAAGAAAGAGAGGAAGAAAAGAAAAGAAAAGAAAAGAAAAGAAAAGAACTATCTATTAAGAAGAATATGGAAACAGACTTCTGGTTCCAGAATGGTGGCATAAAAGCAAGCTGGCATTACTTCTGTCCATAGAAAACCAAAAAGAAATATACAGCACCAAGATTATCACCAGAAGTACCCAAAAACTCAAATATGTGAAGGAGGTAGTTCCCAGGGCTACAGAAAAGTAAAAAAAAATCTCTGAGCAGATGGTCAAAGTATTGGACTGCCATATCCATGATACCCTTCTCCCCAGTAGACCTGGCACTAAGTATACAGAAAAATTTCCCCCCACTCATGGTTTCTACACTGGAAAAAGTGAGAGAGAGGTGGATTGTGACAGACACTACAAAGTAAAACACATGCTTTGTGGCTTCAAGGAACTGAAAAAACAATTGATGAGCTAAGAAATAAACATGTGAAAGGTCAAATAACAATAATACATATTAATAAAATTTCAGAATAACATTGAAAACCATGTCATAAGGTATAGACTGACGAACTTCCCAACAAATTAGTAACTGACTTTAAGAAGCAAAGAAATTCCAAAGATGACAAAATTATTCCCATATTCCCTGGTTAGGGGTGACTTTGCAAAATGGTGGATTTGACCTCATCCTGAAGAGTCTATAAGATTTGGAAATATAGAAAGGACTTACAAAGAAAAGAAACTCCAGCTGAATAGGGCAGTGTGAGCCAAAGCAGAACACAAAAGTTAGGAAAATGTAAACTAGTTTCTGGGGACTGTTACTCTGGTTGGCTGCAGTGAAGCATTCAAGTGTGCATAGAAAGAGAGTGCTGACCACATACCTTATAACCAGGCTTTGGGGTGTGGAAAATCCAGGGGGTGGAGAAGATGGTATGATTAAAATAATTTATTAATAGTTAAACTGGTTTAGTGTTATTGAGTTCATAAAAGAGGGGAGCAGCAAGAAGAAAATCCATTAATAGTCCTAACTTACTTTTATAAAGCCTGGTTGGTGTCAAGCCTTATGCTTTATGTACATTATTTTTCACTGTTACCCCAATTGTACAAGGTAGCTGTACCAGCCCTATTTTATTTACCCAGGATGGTAAATAACAGTGTTAAGATTTGATGCTAGGGTGTTTAACTCCAAAACACATTCTGGTTCAGATGTGTGCTGTTTCCAAGGTATAAGGGTATATGGGTATGGCCAGGAGGGGACAGATATTTGGGAAAGATAGAATGAAGAACTTGATGGCTCATTGAATGGGAGGGAGAGGAAGTTAAAATTAATTTCAAGTCTCCTATGTCTGAGGGATGAGAAAATGATGATGAGATGAATATAAGAAATTCAAGAAGGGGAATAGTTTTAAGGGGCAGTGAAAAGATGAGTTCAAAATTAAATAAGTTTCAGATGGTGGCAAGATGTTTAAGTGGAAATGTCTAGTGGCTAGAGAGTTTGAAGATGAGCTCTAGTTATACTTTTGTCAGCTAGAATGGATGTTGCAATCCTGGCACCACAATGGAAGATGGAAATGCTCATGGAAATCTAACCTCAATCTAGGATCTCGAGATCCTTTCTTTCCCAACATTTTTTCTAATTTTGCTTAAAAACGTGAACAATTTAAAAAAATGTACATGATTATGAAGAGCTCAATCATGTGGTTCAACAGAGCAGACAAATTTTTCTTTTTTTTTGACCAAGCAAGATTTTCCTGCCATGTGATTGCCAATTTGGGCTCAAATACCATTTTCCCTAACAACTTAAAGTGTGAAAACATATGCTTTCCTCTGCCCACACCCTGTCCACAGCACATCCTGTAAAATTCCATCCTTAGGCAGTTAACTTATAGCTTTAGAATGATACAGGTCTTAAAATAAAAGTTTGAGGGCTTAAGGAAAACAGTGGGTTCCTAATGTAAATATATGATGAAGCCAAACATTTCAGAAAATACTCAAGTTCCATAATTTTGCCTTTCTTAAAGGAGTCTTTGGAGAACTATTGCTTCTTCTTTTCCATTTAAAAATATGAAGTTTGTGCAGTGACCATATCCCCTAGGGTTGCAGATGTAGGCAAGCTGTACTTGGCCCTGGAAGAAAGGTACACAAAGCTTAACCTTGCAGTATACTCTGGAAAATGAACCATTTCCTAAGCAGACTCTACACTGTTGGGATAAATTGCAATACCAAATTTAAAGTATGCCTCACTCTGAAAAAAAGAAGTAAGAAAAAGTCTGTAAACCCCAATAAACTTTTATTTCTAATATAAGTATGACCCAAAAATAGATAATGTGGCATTATTCAGTAGCTAAATGTTAGATGGCAAAATGAACTGCAGCCAAGCCATTTCTATATATATTCTATAACCTCAGCAAAAAGTCCAACGGATAAAATGTGTATGAATATCTCACATTCTGTCAAAACCCGTAATACTGACGGCAGTTAAGGAGAATGAAAAATGTAATTTTAGTGCAGGTGGAATCAATTAGGGAAAAAAATGTTTTCTGGATCCAGTACTTGCAGAGGTATAATAAGTATATTTTTAATGAAATAAAAGAGGGATATTCTTTTGTTAACAGCAACACTGAGTATAACTTAAAGCTGCGCTCCCCAACCCCTGGTACCATCTACAGTCTGTTAGGGACCAGCCCACAGGGCTCCGCCCCACCTTCCTGTCCGTGGAAAAATTGCCTTCCATGAAACCTAGGAACGCTCCTCCCACTTTGCTCCCCTTGCACAGCACAGCAGGAGGTGAGGAGCGGTGGGGCGAGCTAGCAGGGAAGCTTCATCTGTACTTACAGTTGCTCCCCATCACTGGCATCACCGCCTAAGATCCCCCCTCCCCACCCACCCCTGTGGAAAAAGTGTCTTCCATGAAACCAGTCCCTGGTGCCAAAAAGGTTGGGAACCACTAAAAGAGGGAAAAAAAAAAACGCAGAAAACACTTAACCGGCCATGGAAGTTCATTTTAGCAGAGTGGCTGACACTGTGTAACTTACTTCAAGTGACCGGTAATAGGAACCGTGTTTCTCTTCTGCAGGACTTTGACTTATTTGGCCACTCCCTCTTCCATTTTTGAGTGTGAAATATGGGTGGTGATAAATGCCCACGGGGGATGTTTGTGCGAGCGGGCTGTACCATGTTCTCTTAGAAAGAATAGTGTATATGCAACCCCAGCCAGGCTTTAAAAATTCCAGAAATTACTAAGTGGCTTTTCCAAAGGATTATGATATTCTGTGACTGGAATCCCAAAACACAATTGATCAAATAAATACTGAGTTCTAAATTAACAAATAATGTTGATGATTTAGGTTTGCTTGCTTTTTTGTTTGGGATTTTTTTTTAATTAAAAGTAACCTAAACATTTGTACCCCCGTAATATGCTGAAATGAAAAAAAAATTGCACAAAATAAAAAGTAACACTAGATTATGTATGCAGAATAATTGGAGGATTAGAAAAGATCAAAATTCTTGACAGTGTGGGAATGATTGAGCAAATTATGTTATCTTGATGAAATATTGTGTAGGCATTAAAAATAATAACTATGAAAACTAAAATTAAAATTAAAACCATTATGATCTAATCATTACGAATAAAGAAGAGCATAACATTAATTATAATTATCGAAAAAAATATGCTTTTGTGCAAAGGCTAGAAGGGCGTATATCACATGAAATTAATGTTTGGATGGTTATATAATAGATTTTTAAAATTTTTTAGATTTATTTTAATATTATTGAGTTTTATATATTTTAAAATAATTCCTGAACATCTTCTAGATTATACTGTTTATATGGCTAACACAAAAATTAAAATTTAAAATTCAAAATAAAGCTATAGTTTTCTTCATCAAAGAGGCCAGAAAACATAACATCTTACTGGATCCAAAGCCTGGCTCTGCCAATGTATTAATTGTGTAACCTTGAGTAAGTTATTTATTCTTTCTGTGCCTTAATTCTCTCCCCCATAAAAATGGAAATATTACAAGAATGAACTCATGATTATTGTCAAGAATAAATAATTCATAAAAAACCTTAGCAGACTAGTTGGCATACAGGAAATGGCAGCTATTGTGTCTAATATATAAAGTATAAAGCACATTTATATATATATATGTGTTACATATATGTTTACATGTGTAAAGGCACTTACACATGCCTGTCACATCCACTGAACCCAATGAGCAGGAGCTATCACACAGTATTCACATAGTTCAGCACCAGCACACACTAGGTTCCAAGAATTCTGCAAAGATTCTTATATATGGTCCATTACATGTAACACATCGGATGCAGCATTTCACTCTTACAAGAATTGTGAGATTGAGGAATCACCAGCCCCATTCTGTGGATGAGAAAATGGAGGCTCTGAGAGCTAAAATAACTGCCGCCAAGATCAGAGAGCTGTTAAATGGCATAGCTAGACAAGAATGAGGCTAGCAGACACCTAGTTCAACCTCTTAACTGCTAGCCATACCACTTCCAATAAATGAGAAATAAGATACACTTAGCTCATGTTTCAGCCCAGGATATGCCTCATCAGTCTGAAGACACTCAATAAATTGAGGCGTTCCAGTTGTTCCTTCCATCACCTGTGAGGCTGAAGCCCTGCTGTGAAGCCCTTCTGCCTGTCTTCTCAGTGGGAATCCTGGCTCCTCATTTCAGCTGCCCCCAACACAGCCTGTTGGGCTACTCTAAATTTGAAAAATGAGAAAGCAGGGTAGTAATGTCTTCTCAAACTGGTGTGAAGGGAAGATAATTCCCCATTAGAAAAGTACACCAAGAAAAGTCTTCCTCTGCAAGAAAGTTATTTTAACTATTTAACATTATTATGTACATTTGTTTTTTGTTTTTTTTACTGTTGGAACTCTCTTAAGTCTTTAATGTGCTACTGTGAACTTTGGGCCTTTGAGAGAAGGATTAAACTTGCAGTATTTCCCAGATTATTTTTCTCCCTAGAACCCTTTGTTCTCAAAACCCCAATTAACACCTCCTGGAATGAGCCTTCCTGGGATCACATTCTGGGGATGCTGATGTAGTGGAAAAAGTCACCGCCAGGCGTCAGGAGAATGGAGTCTGGGTCCTAGCCTTCCACACAGCCAGTGTGATCTTAGGCAACTGCCACAGGCCTCGGTTTCCTCCTATAAAATAAAGAAATGAGGTCTGATATACTATGGTTGTCTTTCTGTGGCAAATGTCTGGAAAAATCTAGCCACGTGATTACTCCACGCCACAGTCTGGCTCTTAATGCCAGCCTTCCACATGATTGAGAATTGATTGATACAGGGATGAGTGTTAAAAAGATTGAAGCCTGTATTATTTGTTCTCAGCGTAATACAGGAGGAATGTAAGAATTGTGAAGCTAATAACAGAAGACTTAGCAACCTAACAGGACTCAGGAAATATATTCTTATGCCAGGCATCACACAAATGCCATGCTCAGAAAGCAATCCCAAGTGTTTTTATGGTGGAATTTCTCACTTTGCCTACTCAGCCTTACGTCTCACCAGCCCTCCAATACTCCGTCCATTCCAGCCAAGCCAACCTCCCACATAAACCCCCCCCTAAAATGCTTACCCCCTCCATGTGATGATCTATTCTACAGCCCAAAACAGTGCCTCTCACCTGACACAGGAAGCTTCCCTTGATTCAGGAGAGTCTGACTTTCTTGAGACCGAGAACTCAGTCTTCTTGTACTTCCAGCTTCTCATATAGTGCTGAACATATTGTAAAGAATAAATAGTAACACCAGCTCACAGTGTTCTCTCCTATCTCAAAGTCCTTACCAAACAGATATGCATTTAAAACTATAATATGTTGAGTAAAACTATTTTTCCTATATTTTTCATGGGTGTAAATGGCAACTCTTCTAGCAGGTTATGAGAGACTGTTTTATTCCTGCATTTGCCATAAAACCTACCATAGTGTAAAGCAAGTGGAAAATATTCCTTAAATATTTGTTGATTGTCTATTTGATTGTAGCCACTTTTAAAACAACCATTATAATATTAATAATATTGCTAGTTATTAAATGAGCTATATACAGAGACTATATACAGAGTATATAGTCTATATACTATATACTACAGAGTATATAGAGCTATATACAGAGTATATGTACTGTGATTAGCACTTTACGTATATTATTTTCTTTATCCCTCATACATGACTTTGAGATAAATAATATCTCCATTCTATAAATGAAAACACTATAAAGGTTAATGAAGTTAATAATTTTCTCAAGGTCATGCAACTACTAAAAAAAGATGACTAGATAATTTCTTGTCAACCAGGACACATCTGAGCATGCACAAAAGTACTAAAATCATTAAAATGATATTATTTTTCAAAATATTTATTTATTAACTGATAATTGATTTTATTAGATTGGTAAATATATAAAATAGTTTAATTCTAAAATTATTTTCAAAATTATAATTTTAAAACAAAAATAAAACATATATAAAGCCAAATTGGAAAAAGATTGAACACTAAAAATAAATATGTTGAATAACTAGTCTTGATACATTTCCATACCCATTTTAGGGGTATTTTTTTCATTAAGGTCTTATTATTTTTAAGTTTTTCATAAAATTTCCTGAAATATTCATTAAAATCATATTTTATTATAAGTTAATTTGAAATTTTAACATTTTCAAGTGGAATTTATTTATGAAACATACTTTTTTGAATTGAGAAAAATATCTTCTAAAGGTTTTGATGTGCTCAGAAAAATACCTGACAAATGAAGGCTATTCTCATTTCTATTTTATTCTTTTTAATATGCCGAAATAGGTTAATTTTGCAACCCAAATAATTTCAATCATAGTTCTCCAGAGAACTTTGCTTTGAGCAAAAATTATTAAAATAAGTTGTCTCTATGATCCTTTGAATACTTTTCCAAATCCAGACACTGCAAAACCGTAGGCCTGCTCAGTTTCAATTCCAATACAGAATTTAAGAATTATTCAAACAAAATAAAAGTTCCGTGAAAAGATTATTTCCACAAGTCAAGATATTCCAAATTGCAATTATAGAATTTATAAATTAAATCTCAAATCCATTGGAGCTCATGTCACTTAATTTGTTCATTTTCTTCTTCAATTTTTGGATATAAACATCATTATTTTCCTGCTGCAAGCATTGTTTTCAAAAATTCCAATTTGTTAAAAAGGTTTAAAAGCTTAAGTTTTAACACCCCAGTCATTAAAAACTTTTCTTAAAGATTTCCAACAAATTTTTAAAAAATAAGCCAACATTTAAAGGACACAGTTTACAAAAGGTGCAATTCCATTGTAAATCGCTTAGGTTGGTTTAAGTTCAAGCACTTCTAATATCTGATTATCAATAGGCAGCACAGGGAGAAAATCCACAATGCCATTTTAGAATTTTTTTATTCAATATCAGCTTTTTCACACACACACACAAAAAAAAAATTAGTTCAGTTATTCTAAATGTGTATGTATATAATTATAAATTTTGACAGCCAATTCCAAATAGAGATCTGATCTATACAATTCTGATTTTTATAAGGGCACTATACACTCCATGACAAGATGCTGGCTTCCAGGCAGCTGGTGTTTTCTTGTTTGCATATCTTGGTGACTCCGCCCTACTTCCACTTTCACTTGCCTTGTGAGCCTCCTATGAGGTCTATAACTTCTATTCAATCCCTATTTCAACAAGTCTTCCAGTCCTGGTAAAAACATGTTTGCCTTTATTAGGATAAGCCTCTCTAGCAGGTTCACCAGTCAGACTCTTAACTATATTCTCCTTCCCATTCAGAGTATGCCAGAATTTCTCAGTGTCTTCCACGACATCAGGGTCCATGTTCAGCTTGAGAACTCACAGGCAGACTTATTTATTCAGATAACTTCTTCTGCTATAGCTGCACTAATGTGCACCATCACTATATCCTTGCCATGTTGTTTTGCAACTGTACTCTAAGGCAATCTCTTTCTAGGGTTCCAAAAGGGAGAGTGATCTAATATTTCTCTGCTTTAGGCTTTTCTCTTAAGGTAAGCAAGACAAATTGTTCCCTGAGATTTGGGTCCAAAGTAGGAGGTCTTGTCATGTATTTGACCTCCATCTTCCTTTTCCCATAATCCCCTGGGAGAAGCAGGTGACTCCCTACTTTCTCTTCTTCTCTGGGTAGAACTTTGCCTACATCTTACCTTCCTTCTTCTGGAAAGAAGACACTTGTCTCAGTCTTAATAGAAAAATGTTATCTTTTTTTATAATGAGAAATAGTTGTGATCTGCTTCAGCCAACTGAGGGTCTTCATAAAGAAACTGGATCTGGGAATTATAAAAGACAAAAATGTATTAGTTAAATATCTTTAAAATGTTATTCCCACTTTTTCCAGTTTTAAAACTTAAGAAACAATTCTCACTCCTACTTGGTATCTAACCTGTTTGTAGAAGAAAGCTTCCTGTATCTAGGACAAAATTATTTGTGAGAAATATAGTGAACATATTAATTATTTACACATATCATAAAAGCTCATGATTCAGAAGTAATATATGGTATAAATCATATCCAATTGCTTAATATCACACCAAAAAACTAGGAATTTGACTATCTTTAGATGCGCTCTACTAACTAAATGTAAAGAAATACAGGAAAGTTTAAAACCCAAGTAATAATATATGTTAATTTTAACACTTGCACTGAAAAATATATGTACAGAAATATAATAAAATATCCCATTTTGTAACCATTTACAAAATAAATCATTAATAGCCCACAGAAGAGTAATTAATTATACTACTAAGAAATAATTTAAAATAACAAAATTTCTATCTTCTTTCAATACTAGAAAGACTAACTGAAGAAGGAAAAATTACTTATCCCAAGAACTAATTATATATTTTCTCTGTACATCTTGGGAGCTATTGATTTCATATTCACATTTCTAAATAAAAATTTTAATAATTCCCATTTCACATTCATAATGTGTATAGTGAAGTGTTATGACTGAGATACAATAAGTATTATTATTTAGTAATAGAAATAGGAACTGTAATTTTAAAATATTTTTAATATAAATGAGCTAATGGGAAGTGTCAGATGTATGATATCCCTCACTGATGATCGCTCTAGTAAACACTGGTTCAGTGTTCATATGCAAAGCAGAGGACACTTTATCATGGCAAGACAACCTGATCCTTGAGGTCCAACAGGTCTGGGTTCCTCTCTGTTTCTGCAACTTACTAGAGAGTAGAACTTGGACAGGTCACTCAATTTCTCTGGGTCAAACAGCTTGTCCACAAAATGGAATACGACTACTACTCATCAGGTTCATGTAAGGATTAAATATGATGTCTATATCAATAGCTTGTCATAATGACTGCTATAGACACATCATTTCTCTCTCCAAATACCTCATCTGTTATGTTATCTATGTTTCTTCCAGAGCTGAATGTGGTCCTCTGAATTTATTCACTTTTTTTCTTTGAGAGCTCTGTGTAGCCTATTTGTTCTAGAATGTATTTCTTTCTGTATGGGGATTGAGAAAAAGAAGAAACAGAAAGAACAGAACAGAGAATGGTTGAGAACCTCTGTTCCAGAATCATATACAACATATTACACTGTGTTTCTATGTGATGTAATAATGTAGTAACCACAAAAATAATTTTCACTCCATCTTATTTTACAGTACCTCTATGGGTTAAAAATTTTAATTTGTTAAACTATTTCAGATGTAGGATTTAAATTTATTTTGCCCTTTCTCTACATGTTTTATATGGAACCAGTTCATTTCTGTTTTTCCCATCTAGAACTTTGGTGAATTTAGCAAGTAAATTTGGTTTCTTGAATCTCCTTGTTCACATTTTATTTAACCATGTAAATATGTCAGGAAAAGAGATCACTGCATAAAAAGATCTAGAGCATTTAAAATAATAATAATCAAACAAAAAATGACTTCTCCATATATTACTTTCTCCAGACCTCAAATGATCCACTTGAAAGATTATAGACAAATAACATTTGAATCCATTGAAGAAAATTCACCTTAATAAAAGCTAAATCCAGTTGAAAATAGAGATCCACAATCTGGAGCCCAGAATAACACCAACTATTGCCATTTCAGAATGTCACTCTTTTTTTCCTCAAAGTGGTGGTTTTACCACCTACTATCTGACCTTTTACATACAATTCTAGCAAGCTCACTTAAACTTAAGGGAGGGAGGGAGATAAATGCATGTTCCATTGTGTTCTATGATTTTTGAGAATTCTGGCACTTTTTTCATTATAGGAAAAATCAGTTTCTAAGAAGTGTGTGTGTGTGAGAGAGAGAGAGAGAGAGAGAGAGAGAGAGAGAGAGAGAAGAGTATTAAATATACTTAGAAAAAATGATCTAGAAAGATGCAGCATTAACTGTTAATGTACTCAACTCTCAAGAGTTATGAAAGGGATTTTTTTACTTTAGATGCTCCTGTATTCTTTGCACTTTCCCACAAACGTTATATTTGTAATTTTATAAATTAAGGGAAAATATTCCATTGCACACATAACAAAACATAGCAATCCATATTGGAGGATTTTTCCTTCAAATTTCCCCATGTCAGAAAATAGAACCTTCATTAGCCTTTTTACTTAGGTGCAACCCCTAAGATTTGTATGTGCTTCCTTTTTCCTTTACACAGTACTTCCAGTCCATGGCAAGATCTGTGAGCTCTATCCTCAAAACATACCCTGAA